CCATAATTTGGTCCCAAATTCAATAACTCCATATGCGTTGGCTTTTCGGTGACGATTGGCTTGATTTTGCTCAACACGTCCTCCAGAGACAGATAGTCAACGACTTTAACCTTTCCGTAAGCCTTGGGTTTAATTAGTTCCGGAGGTTTAGAGATCAGTAGTTTTGGTTGACTCCTCTCTTTGTTAAACTTTTCTATCAATTCCTTTGTCTTCCAATACTTGTCCGTATAATTGCCTACAAAATTAAATACACATTAAAATTAGTATCTATTAATTAATAACTAAAATAATATTAAAACATATGGTTAACCCTACCCCCTTCCCCCCACGACATACCTGATTCAGAAATGGGTGCGTTATAGTCATAACTGGTGACCAGATTTGGGCCGCCATTCATGAACCCAAAGTTAGTGCCGCCGAAAAACATATAGAAATTGATGGATGAGTTGGCGTGGAATACAACGTCAGTCACCTGTTGTTCAAATGTCTTTACGCTATAATAGGCGTGTTTGCCGCCCCATTCATCAAACCACCCTGGCCAAAACTCGGACACGTACAGAGGCTTATTGGGTTGCGCCTGACGGAGCTCGGTCAATAGTTTCAACGATCTGCTGTTAAAATTGATTGTTTCCAAAACATCTATAACAGTATTTAGTGAGATATCAATTTAGTGTTTTTACATGTTGGTAAAACCTCTTTACAATGTACTGTACATACTGTACAATGTATACAATAAACAATAGCATTACATACCCTTTTGTATGGTTTTAAGTGCCGTTAGGGGCGTCTCCTGAGAGTCGCAGTTTGTGAGCAACTCTTTGAAACCACTGTTTATTATAGTATTCCTCATGAGTTCAAAGTATTGTCGGTCACCTGCGCTACGAATACCCCCGAACTCGTTCTCAAACTGCAGGGCTATAATGGGTCCGCCCTTTTGGAACTGGAACTCATCGATGAGAGCCAACACACGCTTGAAATAGGCCTCCACTGCCGTCAGATATGGCCCGTAGTTAGTCTTGAGCCGCATGTGTGGGTTGCGTATGAGCCACGCGGGGAATCCTCCCAATTCCCACTCGGCGTCAATGTATGGCCCGATTCGGAACCACACAAACATATCGGCGTCTTTGACCGCCTGTAGGAATG